AGCCGGTCTAAGATCAACACATGCCAGGAACGTCCTCAAAGCGCACAAAGGACGACGTCCCGTCAGAAACGACCCTCGGATCCACAGTACGTAGGAGGCGGCCCGTTAACCCAGAGGGAAGAAACGTCGATGGAACTTGACATTGGGACGTGAGCATGACGGACCCGTACCGTAATTTCCCCAGCACGGCGAAGGATGGCCAAGAATGAGACTCCATGCTCGGTTGGCACACCCCTTCATCTCCCAGGCAGCCAGCCTACCAAATTGAGTCGAGGGTAGTATCAAGTCGGACTCTGGCACTTGAACCGGAAAACCACTGGGCAACTGAACCGATTTCACAGCGTTGTACCCGAGATCCCTCGTGATGTCTGTACAACGGCATGCAGGAAAAGGGTTGATTCCCAGTCCCCGTCCCGCCCCGTACCACCAGACATGTTGCGCCCGCCAGGTCTTGGGTTGGGGAGCGCATTTCTCGCTACACAGTACGAGGTCCTCTCAACCTCGGTGTGGTCACTTGCTTACCTTGGTAGTAGTTATCATGCATCCTACCGAGGAACCGCGCAAATCAGCACATCTAACACGCATATCCGTGATGGGGTTGAATACGAGAAAATAGAATGAGCAAGAGACGTGGGCAGTCCTTTGGTGGCGGTATTTCAGCCACAAGAGCCACAGCCAGGGCTGGTTTTCTAGGGAGTGGATTTTCGTGATGACGCATCGCGAGACGGACATTGTTTACCTCATTGGGTTAACGTGCCACTCCTGCCTCCTCACGAGGTATTTTCTATCCGTCGGCCAGAGCTATGCTTGGATGCTCTTCAGTCACGGTGCTTGGTAAATAAGGACGCCAAGTCGGCCATGGATGACTGAGATTGACTCTCGTGGGGCATTTCAAGTAGGCGTCGTGTTGATGGTGTCAAACGGACGGTCCCGTCGCCCACTTTCGTCGAGGTCTCGGAGCCGACTTATACGGCTGAAAACGGCGTCGAAACCAAAGGGCATGATAGCTCTTTGTCGCAGCTAATTGTAGATGCCACTGCCGCTTCATTAGTTGAAGGTTAAATTCTCCGAAACACCTTTTGTGGGCCACCTGGTTGTGGGCTGGAGAGTTGTGAATCTGTGATGGAGAAGCCGAGGGCGGCAATACTTCTATTAAGCAACATGTCTGGTTGATGGCGAGATTCCGGGCCGCAAGGTGCAAACATGGATGCGCATGCTCTGAGACCGCACATGTGCTGCCCGGACGCCAGCCCGCATTCCTCATTCCTCATCGTCCCATGGCCTGCCCTCCAAAGTCGCCCGCAGACTGGAACCGTCGAATGGACCAAAACGGACGGAAGGGTCGCTCGTCCAGGCTGCTCCCAGGGAGGCAAGCCGCCCCCTTTAAGCCCCCAAGCAGCAGCAAGCCAGCAATCAAGCACATAATTTGACGTGAGCATGAGGGGGAGCAACACAAAAGCGAAGGCCTGTTGCATGCCAAGCCTGGGAACAACCAAAGTTTATTTGGATGTGTTGTTTCCGCCTCAGGCTTGCCGCAATACCACCTTGTTTTTTTGGTCCTATGTCTTAAAAGATGATTAAAATTCTTCGTGCTGTGTAACCATCTGCCGGGGTTGAATCGGACGACGGGGCGGCGCAACGTGGAAGTGGTGGCCGTTTCATCCCATTGCGGTGCTTCCTGTCGTTGCCACGGAAGAACTGCTTCGTTCTTTGGCCATGTTGATGTCGTGGTCAACATGGCAATGCAGAGGGTGATGGAAAAGAGGGAGAGGGGGGGGGGGGGGGGGATGGAAGAGACAGGCTTGTCAGCAAATATATTCATTATCCTCATGGTTTTGGTTACGCCGTCGTTGTAAATTAAATACTACAACGAACGAGATGGGTCAGCCTGTATATTACCCATCAAACAAAAACACTAGTCATGCTCCCATGGCACCAAATCAAACATCTTTCCCGTCCAAAATTTAGAGAAATAGCAATCTGCCCATGGATAAAATCATTTCCCCCTCACAAGTTGCCTCAATCTCTTTTCAATCACCTCCCTCCCTTCCAGCGTGCCCCAAACCTCGTGTCCGGCCCCGTTGACTATATCCCACTCCTTCAAATTATCCGTCACCGTCGTCAAATCTCTCTGCTTCGCCTCCCAGTTCTTACTCCTCTTCACTTCGACCCCTGAGCTAATCACTACCAGGGGAGTTTCCTTCTCTTGAATCTGGCGACTGCTCCTGACATCGCGCTTTGTGAATGAATCCAGCACCAGACTTTCCTGGAGCTTGGCAAATATGAATTTACTCCCTTGCTGGGCGGATCTTCCATACACACGGTCCTGGGACGTACGGCCCTTGAAAATGGCGCCCGGAAGACGGTCTAGTCCCAGGGGGGAGATGATGCCACGGAGCCAGAGGAGGAATCCGCGGGTCGGAGATGCCCATGGACCAAGCAAGTCCTCGTGGAGAGGATCGATGAACAAGAGACCCTTCACGTCATGGCCATGGCGGGAGGAAAATACGCGCGAGTAGAGAGAGCCGGAGCCTGCACTGGCAAGAACCCAGGGCCCCTGCTCGCCGGCTTTGGCGAGAGCTTCGCTGAGAACATCCACTGCGAAGCCGGCTGATAGAGGGGACGGTGCGGTGTCTGACCATGCTATTCCCGGGCGGTCGACGAAGCAGTATCGTGAGATGGAGCCATTCTTGACGGCGTTGTCTGCAAGGGGCCATAGGCCTTGTTCGACGGGCCGTTCTCCCCCCTCGAAGAGCACAGTAGGAACTTCCTCACCATGTGACTTGGTCCTGTTTCCGTGGCAGAATACGTGAATGCGATACTTGTTCCCGTCAACACTGTACATTTTCCCGGGAGCCGAAAAGCCAGCATCCAATGCGCGCAGAATAATCGTGAGCGTGATGAGGACGACGGCAACAACCATGACGACAAACGCAATGGTTGACACGATGACCGCCGACCATTCAGTCAGGGTGCGCCTCGTCTCAGCGCGGCCCGTCAGCCTCTCTTCCTCCTCCTTCTTGCCCCATTTGACCATGCGGTCTGTGAGGAGGTTCCAGAGACTCATGAGCAAAGCCCAAACGACGCTCACAATGCCTACCCATCCTTCCTCGTATCGCGTCTGCTGCACGGCAAGGAGGAGAACCATGTCGAGAAGTAACAGGAACTGTAAGCTTAGTCAGTCCGCGCGGATAAATACATAGGCATATATATGTAGGTATATATCATATGGCCGGTCTTCCAAAATGCACTACTTACCGCCATGACAAAGGCCAGGATCCGAACGGATTTGCTCGGCACGCCAAAGAAGATCAGGACAAAGCCCAGGTTTGCCATAGTCAAGGTCGTAAATCCAAAGGCAAAGAAGCCGCTGCCTCGCGAGTGCAACCCCGGTGGTGTCGCAAAGGCAGAGACCAGCAGGAGAACCCACCAGACGAACGTTATAGCCGTGAAGACCAGCGTCAGGTAGCGCAGGACACGGATACTCCATAAATTATACGGGGATACCGCGGGGTCGTCTGGCGTGAGCAAGTTTCGGTTCGAGTCTCTGCTTGTGTCGACACGATTAGGGAGCAGACGGGTATGCTCATCGGGGGGTGCGATTTCGGACGACTCGTCGGTAGCATCGCGTGGTTCTCGATCCTGTTGGCCACCGTCTTTCGTTTTACTAAAGAGAGGCATGGTGTCTCAAGGCTCTTCGGAGGCTAGGAAAAGAGAGGTAAAATAATTTTCTCAAGAGGTAGAGATTCCAGATTTGGCCCGATATGGCCTTTTATAGGAGTATACAGTACAACGGGCAACCTGCGAGTCTACCTGAAGCGGACAATTGTGCCTCTTTGCTCTCGAGGGTCAAAAATAAAAAAGGTATGCGCATGGATGGACGTAGAGGGAAACGGGCCTCGGTCACCTTTTTGTTTAAACATTTCGCAATCCCCCTCCGCCCGGATCAAGAAACATATGTGCCATCGCCTCTGCCCGTCACATCTGCCGTGATCTGAGGCAACGTCTACGTCATAGCCAGATTTGCCGCAACCAGGAAAGAGCTCTGACCAATCAACAGCACTGGCGGCGACGGCTAAGACTGTTCTGAGTTTTTGCTGTCCAAGCTGTTGTTCGATCGATTGGCTGGTGCCACGCCCCACTTGTCCGGCAAACAAAATCCGCAGGGAGCGTTGATGATCCACCTCTGCCGTTGGAGGAGTTTATACCTAAGTTTAAGTTTCGTGCGCCCATGCATGTAACCAACTACCTAGGTACCGGAATATTAATTTGTACACCAACTTCTGGCGATTGGCTCAGTCGTCTTCCCTTGACAGCTCCAACATGTCAGCGGCGGAAGCAGTATTTTACCATGTTTGAGGGGATGCCTGCAGCGCAATGGCATCGGCACGCATCCCTCCCGGATGGCCCCTTGGCATATTTGGAAATCGCACATGACTTTTCGCTGACTTGAGGCGGCATGTTGTCAGGTCGTCAGCCCAAAAAGGGCGGATGTGGCTGTCGGGTCGCGTCAATACGTTGGCGATCTGGTAAAGGATGGAAATGGTAACAAGAATGCCAGATCAATGGTCTGACCATTAGATGTGCAAAAGAATTGAAGCGTGAATGGCAAGGCAAGCTGTCAAAGGCGAGCTGGCACTGCAGTTGTCCTTGCCAGCTGCCGCGCCGCGAAAACCACCCGTGATTCAACCAGACTCTCTTCTTTTTTTCACCCTTCATTGAACAAAACAACCGCTGCGTAACGACTCTTATTCGAAAAAAAAAATAAAAAGGCCCATAGAGGAGACGTATCCGTCTCGACATCCGAATAATAGTGTTCAAAAGAGGGACTATTGCGCAAGTTTTAAAAAAGCACATGGGCCGAGACTACCAACAATTTGGACAAGACATTACAGCTTTTCATCCAGGGCAACCTAGAATATGAGTATTGAGGAATCCGGGCCTTGCAAGAGCTCATCATAGCAGAACAACATAGAGCATCAATTTCTGGGAACAACGAAATGGATAATAGCAAAATCGACAACAGCGAAAGAAATAATCAGGTCAGGGACAGCGGAAGGCAATACAAGAATCGTAGCCTAACAGACTACTCTAATTCGGTGCTCGTTTGCGAACCTGAGCACGAGCTAGACATATCGCGGCAAGATATCGTTTCCCGGGGACGTTCCCCTAGTCCAGTTCGCGAACTTAGCCGCCATCCAAGACTATATAAAGAACGAGGCGGGCTGGACAAGTTGCCACCACAAACATCTATTGACGCACCGTTGGTCACGGGTGCAAGAGACTCGGATGCGGCAGTAAATCTTTGGCTTGACGGAATTTTGACACTTGAGCAGACTGGGCGCTCAACAAAACAGAGAGACCTTGTTCAAGAAGACAATGAGTCGCCTGCCGTCAACAATGAGGCCTTTCAAGCCCAAGCCCACGAAGCATCTACCACGGATGATAATAACAACCAAATGTTAGAACCTAATCATGAGACAACTACCATGGATAATCCGGCTGCCGCCGCGGATGTCCAATTTCCAATCTCTTGGCGAACATTGTTCTCTCCAAATGAACCCGGCAGCAAGATCTTACACTACATCGAGACAACTCTATGGCCACATATGAACAACGAGACCAGGAGGCACTTCAACGCGAGGGCAAATCCATATAGGTATCTCAGGTTTGCCAGGACAACGGTGCAGCCATCTAACCATGCAATGACGAAACATATTTACTCGGGTAGGGGCGACAAAACAAAGATGCAGGTCGATCCAGAGGAACCCCAAGCACTTGTATTGACAATCATGGCTCTGGCAACGTGGGGAGATGCCAAGCTAAGGGAACGAAACCCCACGTATCTGCTGATATGTAGACATTGGCCTGCCGAATTATCCGCACTGCCCAAAGGCCAAGCACCGGGTATCCGATTTCTTACGGTACGACAACGGAAGAAGCTGGACGAAGAGCAGGGACAACGGCATCAGGGCGGGCGCGAACCAGATATATTCACCACAGAACAACAAACGACCGAGCAACGAGCTACAGATCAACCAACGACAGGTCCACACATGACCGGGAACGAGCGCAACACGCAGATAACAGATTATCTGAAGAAGGGGGTGCAGAGTCTGAACAATGGTGCTACGCCGCATTACCTTGCGGAAGCCTTGGTGCGTATTGAACAAAAGGTTGACTGGCAGAACGAGGCGATTATCCGCCAAAAGGAGGAAATGGCCCGGCAGGGCATACAGATAGAAAAAAATGCGCGACGACATGATATTTTATACCGCAATGTCGCGGGCCTCTACGACATTTTGAGATTGCCAATGGGGTTTGAGGGTCCATGAGATCTCTATGCTCCCGCTCGGAGAGAAGAGCGATGACGGCATGGAAGATGGGCAAGAATAAAGTGGCTATAATGTAATAAGTGTAGAGGACAACGGCGGCAACGGCGATGGATAGTGAGGATAGTGAGGACAACGAGGATAGCAAGAATAACGAGACCGACGTGAATGACTAGGACAACGAGGACAATGAGAACAAATAGTAGATAATAAATAGGCAGGCGCCAATTGGCTAACCGGCAGCGATATGCTTTGACTTTGCCAACACCACGGATCGTTGCGCTGTGATGCTAGGGCTGAAATTTCATATTCATATTCACGTCCATCTTATGTAGGCTTAACTACACAGTCATTCCGGAATAAGGCAGCGCTCTATCAGAGCAACCTTTACACGAAGTTGGGGGGCTGTCATGGCTACTTCCCAATCGGGGCATGGATGGCCATGTTCGAATGTGTGCCTACACAGGCAGAACTTGTCCTTTGATCAACCTTTTGCTACGAGCCTCTTTGTTTTTTCTCATTACTAAATTCACTTGGTACTCTTCCATTTGCACTAGTACTTACTAGAGGCCAGACAGCCAAGACTCATAGGTTAGATGCACTGCTTTACCAAGTTTTCATCACCTTGTCTACATAGACGCCCACACTAGGTAGTGTTGGGGGTCAGCGAGCACGAAGCATCAGCAACAGCAGTAGCCAAAAGAGGCGGCGGAAAGAGACGTCGAAAAATCAGGATAGTGGTGGAAGAAAGTTTATTAGACGTCTGGTCTCAATTCTTCTCTGCCAGCTCGCACGAGGGACCACTACAGTCCGTGGCAGGCGCCCTGTTCATGATGACGGTGCGAGTATGCGCAGGTGCTGCAGAATATACTTTCCCACCAACAAGTATGCCCTAATATACCGTTAGCCCTGTACATGTATCTATGTGGTCTGGTTCAATACCTTTTTAGCCAGATGTAACCAGGGCGTTCAAATCCGCCCTTGCGGACCGGTTTCACCGTGCCCCAGATGAAGAGACCTCAAATGTCACCAATGTCAACACGTTGAATACGTTGCAATGGAGCAAACTACGCTTCCCGTTGGAAACGTGGAAGCCGATATTGGTCACTGCGCTGCATCACAATTCATCCCCAGCTGGGCATACACCGTGGGACATTTCGCAATGCTAGTGATTTGCTACCGCAGACTATCCATAATCTATCGCACCAATGTATGTATAGCAAACAAATACACTTCTTCTCTAATCCCCAAACCTGGAGAAAGTACGGCCCTGAATATCGTTTTCTCAACTCGATGAGGTATTTTAAAATAAAAACACTTTTTGTCATACATTCGTGGCATGTATGCTTTCCAACGAATAAACATACAACCCCTCACGTTGGTTTTACTGATTTTGCAGCTCCAAGTGGTATGAGCGGATAATGGAGTCCGTATCGTCAATGGCGAGGGGGCGAATGTCTACCATCTGCTTAATCTTGGCAGTGCTGTTGCGTTGCGTCTGTCAGTACCATTGTCAAATGAGGGCGCTGATGCACGTACACTTCCTTGGCCTATTTGTCACTCATGGATAGACCAAGTTGCTCGACTCGGCTCTTGATAGCGTTCCAACCAGTCAACCGGCTAGCGAAACTGTGGAGCTGTTAGCAACGTCCGATTATGAACGATGAGCTTCGCGGGAACAGATGGTGAGAGTAAGATCAGCTGCTTCCCCACATCCAAGCAAGGAACGCTATCAGCTTCCATGGACATGAATAGCAAAAGCATCCAGGCAACGCCCATGTCGATCCACTACTGGTGCCATGCAACCGTCTTTGCATTTAGGCGCACACTTACTGAACATCTGCTACTAGTTAGTGTGACATGCTTTTTTAGGGAACGAAAGTTCTAACATCTGCTAAGACCGTAGTCTTCCGGTGAAAGGATTTCTTAGCTTTAACAAAGTTAGCTTCGTGACACGTAACTCGTGGTCAATCACCACTCACGTCGAGGGGTTGGCCAGGATGGCCTTGGCATGGATTCCGGCCTGTGAACGAGTTAGTGATGTCCCCAGCCCCCAAATATAACAAGACATGGAGGTACCTTGTGAGTGAGTGCGCACTAGAGAGACCTAGAGTTAGCATCTTATTGAACAGTTCGGAACATCAGGTGGTGCTTACGAAACCTAACATCGCGAGAATTGTTAGCACCTCTTTTAATAGGGAGACTGAGAGCTTCGTTTTGGACAGAGTGAGGTAGGGGGGCATGTATAACGTACCAGTAATGGGATTGTTGAAAGGAACATTCTGGCATCACGTTAGCACGAGACTATTCCGTAACGGCACTGAAATGTACATGGCGGCGCCATTCGGCCAGTCGTCCATCAGGGACTGTGGTTGCGACTGAAACCAATGCGGGCGCAAGAGCTCTAAGAGTTGTCTGGCCGTTTCGCAGGATATTCACTCACAATTTGGACGGCGTCCGCCACCATGTCCTCAATCTCCTTGATCTTATGGAGCTTATACCGGCTCATCACATGGTCGCGACTTCCAACCATCATGCGAGCGATAAGTCCACCAAGGGATGTGATACCGTTTCTCTCGCCCTGACTTATCTTAGCAATTCGCCCATGTCCGGGACTCTTAGCGATCCCGACTTACAATGCCAAGCACACTGGTGTCAATATCTGCGTGAGATTTGTGAGTAAAATTATGCACTGCCCTCTAGAGTAACAACAAGGAGACATACGCGTTGCGCCGGCTTCGAGTGCAGCATGACTGTTTGCAATAGCGCCTGGTCTAGTTAGCAAAAGCCACAGGCTTTCAGATAGCATGCAAAGAGACAGTCCAATGGTTGTAATAAAAATCGAGAGTAAGCTAGCAGAACAAGATGAATACCGTGGTCCACGTGGAACAGATCGTATGTTACATGACAGCACATAGCTTGTTCTAAAGCCATTGAGGGTTTGCAGTAGATGAACGGGTGCAAAAATATACGACAATAACGCGAAAGAAAGGTTTGTTGAAGACCTCCACTTACAGCCCGTATCGTTGTGCAGATGCACTTCAATATCGCATGAAACAACGCCGCGAAGCGTGCGGACAAGACGGTAGACTTGACGGGGCGTAGCACATCCGACAGTGTCGGCCACACCTGGAGCATATATATGAGTAACCAGCCGAGAGTACTCTCCATAAGCATTCAAAACTCACCAACACGGTTAACACCAACACGCTAACTCTGAATATTAGTTTAGCTTCTTAAGTTTGAAGGAGGAAAACTTACGTCAACGGCGCGATGGAGTCGGAGGAGATCGACAAGGTCGGACTATTCAGACGATAATATTGATTCCACTCTTTTTTCCGCACCGTATGCGAAATAAATCTTCCGGTATAGAAAGACAAATGCAAGGTTGGCAATGTTGGATGGTAGTCGATAGACTGCTGTGGAATTCTCAAGGCACATGTTGCATGCAACAGAAGCACCTCACTGTATCCCGAAAAGGGCAAAGGGCCAGAGAAAGGCCAGAGAACAAAGGCATGGTCATACGATTGATTGAGCGAGCGTAGCCTCGGGACAAAGGCAAATGGAGAAGTCTGCGTTTCTGACTTACTCTGAAGCTGTCCTCCGATGAGAAGCGAACCTCAACTCCTCGGTTGCAACAGTCAGCTGTGGAACGAGGTAATGAGCATCTAGGGCCTACGGAGTACCTCTTGACGTAGTTGATGACCGCTGGTGGGGTTTCCCTGGGGAGGGTGGGGTGGCAGTGACAGCGGCAGAATACAGAGCCAATGGCGTCTGGTGGTTCCGATGTCGCGGCAAGGAAGAGTTTTGCTGCCGTGACGCGCCCGCTGCCGCTATCTGCAGCACAGTGCACATGTGCTGTCACAAGCGCTGAGTTCGGGGTCCACATCCCAGTACGGAGTATGTACAACTAGTTTCAATGCATTTCAGCCCGCGTACAGTGTCAAATTGAAATTCATTTACTGTGATTTTGATAGGCATTGGCACCCCGCAATTCTCCTTGCGTGATACCAAGACAGAACATGCCTATGTACAAGGAGTCATGCAACAGTGGGGCTGGACAGGGCTCTGTTGATGCTGCGGCAGACGTCGCGCATTGCTCTCAATCTTGTTTGCCCGTGCCTCCTCATCCGCCTCCGAGGATGCGACGACTGGCGGACGCTACTGACTACTTTTCCAACGGCGTTTGATCCGAGGTCAAACACCGGCGACTGACCTGGCCAAGACTTGGATGGTCGGCTGGTCCCTTACGACCTCGTCGATGGTTCCAGATATCGCGGCTTCTCCCCCACCCACTCTGCATTACCGCATCACCACATGCAGCCAGTTGACGCCTCAACTTGACTTGCTTCTCAAACCCAACGCCCAGCGCCCAGTATAAGTACCTAGCGGGCCACGACGCACAAATCAATGTTACCCAGGGTCGCGTAATCTCAGCAAGAGCGTTTGCGTACCTGAGACAAATCACAATTCAGCCGGTGTTAGAAACGTGTTTGCCACCTCCAGCATTGACATAGTACGAGTCCGCCGAAGGCCATTCTGACACATCATCTCACGAAAAAAAAAAGAAGAAGAAGAAGAAGTACCCCGCCTATCAAGACGGGATATCTTGGTTTTTTTTCGCTTGCTCACACAGAAGAACCCCCCCTTCTCCAAATCCAGCCGGATAACTTGCATCTGTGCACCCCCAGCCCACCGCCATTTCCAAACCCGCACCCAAACCCAGCGCTTCGTCGCGCAAACTCGAGGAGCCAGGCATCCCGTTCCTCGCCATGCCTGCTCTCACCATCTCGACCGACAAACCCACCAGGTCCCGGTCAACATCCCCCGTCCGTCCTCCCATGTCCCCAATCACGCCTCCCCTGGCTCCGGCAAGACCTCCCGATGCCCCTCCGGCTGCAGCAAACCTCCCCCCAGCAAGACAGACCTATACCCATTCCTCGCAGCCGTCTCAGCAGATAGGCATCCCGCCGCCTCCTCCCGAGCCCATAGACTTCGAGCTCAACCCCGACGTCATTGCCCTCAAGTCTGCCATTTCCGTTCTCCAGGTCCAGAAGAGACGAGCCACGGGGGACATTCAGACGTTGAGCAGAGTCAGGGACGAGGCCCTGGACGACCCGGAGTCGTTCATCAAGGATCTCGCCGCCGGGAAGGTGAAGCCACGGGATGACTTTGTCTTTGAAACCGCCGGCAGCGACGAGGATGACGAGAATGCTGGCGAGGAGAGCTCGGACAGCAAGCGTTCGCCTCGGCCAGACGGAGAGTCAAAGCCAAGAAGGGAGTGGTCCTCATTGCCAAAGCCCCAGGACGTCGTTCGTTGCCCTCCCATAAACTGGGCGCAATACGCCGTCGTTGGCGATTCACTAGACAAGCTCCACGCCGAACAGGTGGCGCGCCCTTCTCAAGGATCACCCGCTGTCTTTGGATCCAACGGGACGTATGATATAAAGAATGAAGGGAAACAGGAAAAATATAGTGGTGTGGCCGCACCTTACGCCCCCGGCAAAGACCGGATTGACCGGAAATCAAAGGGCAAGAAGTAAATGAGGATTGGAAAGGGGGAATAATAGGTATCGCGGCGCGAGCGCATCCCAAGGAAACGACAACATGAATAATTTGGGACTTGTTACGACTGTCATGATGATATAGGATCTATGAATGGCGTTTTGTGCTAGACAGGTTTATGGTGTTTAGCTGCCAGCGGTGGGCACAGTGTATGTTATATGAACCGTCACTTCTTTATGGTAACTGATAGCCACCTCGGAATATACCGTTAGGGTCGCTGACTATTGCAACTTTTGTTCAACGTTTCGAGATTTCATATGGAACCTATACCACAAGGCCAGCTCAACGCTGCTTTATTTCACGGGCTGTCCGCCGCTCACCTCCCCAGAAACGTATTTATCTGAGTCGTCGGTTCCCCGTAACACCACCTAGGTAGTTGAGTAGCTGTAGCACTCGGATTGCTATACCCATGAATCCGGCCGATCTTGGGCTTTGTCACCTGTCATCTTCCAAAAAGGGGAAAACAGAAAAAGGTACCTCTCGGCAGTCCTGTACGCGATACGCCGGAATGGTGCAAGTCATGATTCGATGCATTTCTCTCCACAGTAAATGACTAATATTGTTACTCAGGGAAGTCTCTACTCGGCGGTTAGAACTGCAATGGTGACTTGAGAAATGAAAACGAGGGGAGAAAAGGTCTTACTCCATGCTTTGCTGCACTGATCGTCGAAGGCGACGGTTGTACTGTTTCTTGTCATCCTTTCCGCCGCCCCAGAACAACTTGGTGGCTTCGGGGTTGACAATCATTCTAGGGTCATAGGCCGGTTCATCCTCTTCCAATGTCGATATAATCGCCTCAATATGGGATTTGACATCCTCGCGCTTAAGTGGATTCGGTACGTAGCACGCCGTGCCATCCGGGGCAACATGATGGTGGAAAATCTTTGTTTCAAACTTGACACGAGGCTGTTCATCGGGAAATCGGGTGCTGAAGTTCATTCTGATGCGGAATAAGCCGCCGTCCAGATTGGTCATGGGCCGACCGAAATAAGTGATGATCCACACGAAGGGATTGTCGTTGTCGAGAGTTACATCATGAGGCATATCGCTTCTTTTGAAGTAGGCCGTGACTTGCTCATACTGATGGTACAGATTGACCGCGACAGTAGACTCCTTGGCAACAGCTGTGAGACCCTCGGCTGCCCAAGCCGCTGGTTCCGCGTCAAGTGCGGTTTTGACATTGTTCAGTCTTCGCTCCAAATCTGGGTAGTTGAATTTTCCCTCCATGCAGTTGTTACCCGGCATTTCAAATGGCATTCGCACAAAGCTATCCTGTAGCTTTACTTCCGACTTTCCCTTTTCAATAGCGTCCAGGTATGATTGATAGTACCATAGAAATCGGCGTTTGCAGATATCCCTGAAAGGCTCAAAGGGTACGTTGACCTCCTCGTCGTCATCACCGCCGTCTTCTTTGGTGAGCAGCTGTGTGCTACCGCCAAGGGGACTAAGACCAAGATAGTTTTCTAAGCGCTGAATAACAGAAATTCTTAGCGATTCGTGACGGATCTATTTTTCGCAAGGTTAGCTAGAATATCGCACAAAATTTTTAATTGTTCTCATTGTGAACCTTTTGTATATAATCTTTTTGGTACACCTTGTCTGATTCCTCGTTTGCATCCTCGAATCCGGGTTCATTTTCGTAGGGGTTTGCCGACAGGAGGCTCTGAATGGATAAGAGAATGGATTCCAGGCCCTGGGCCGACGACCACTCCTCCCCTCGTTCTCCACGCCATGTTCTGTGATGATGTGAAGAATTGTTGTCAACTACGGAGTACACAAGGCACGTGTTGAATAGACGAGCAGATGACACTTACCCCAATATTGACCTACGAAGTTAATATGAAAAATCGATTTAGCATGGACAGATGGGCATGCAGGTACTTACAGGCACACCTTGCCATTGGCGTATATATTTGGATTCAGTCGGCATCTGCCACCGTTGGTGGTGACACACTGTACATTGGGCGATTTGGACGGATAGTCTAGAAGTCGTTAGGCACTTGGAAGTGGAACAGAGCAACAGGAAGTTTAGTGCGTGGCATTACCTCGACTGAAACGAATGGCAAACTGTTTGGAGACTGTTAGCAGAAGCATTGCTCATGGTTTGTTGACTTGCTGGATGTCGAACCTCGAAGAAACCAAATTCGTAGGGGGTCTCGTGAGGACCCATGACCAGAGCTTTCACATTGCGAACGTCGATATCGCGGCAAGCGACAGCGATAGCTATTGGCAGAAGCCAACAAGGAAATGTCAGCAAAAAACAAGAGGAGCAAGGAACGCAAAAAGTGACTAATGATGGCTCGTCTTGGCAGTTTGCATGAAAATACGCACCGAGATCAGTGCCTCTTTGAATGTCGCTCAGCTCCTGT